TACGTAAATAGCAAATTTTATAGTAATTAGATGAGATAAGTATGATATACAAACACTCTTTTTGAAAAAAAAAAAACAGCAACAGCTGTGTTTTTTGCCTGGTGTTTTAACTAAAATTACATTCCGAATAGGCGGTTGAATCATGTAAAAATGGTTATACAAATATGCTTAAATTAAAGATTATTTAAATAATGATTTTTTCTATCACTCGTACTTTGATAGAATTAAACGATACCAAGAAAAGATACCAAAAAGATACCAAGATAAAAATATTACTAGCTGTGACACTAGGTCAGTCTGTATATAAAGTATTCTATGTATTAAGATTCAACGACCACGATATTATAATTGTACTATGATGGCAAACAAGCATACGGTTCGTCTAATGGTAAACGGATTTACCGTAACCTATGGACGTCTGTAACACCAAGGATAACACGCGCAGGTTGCTGACCCTTAAGAAATCTTATTACACCCTTATTGAAGAACCTCACGGTGTAGTCTTTAGAGAAAACCTCAGCAGGAAAATCATTTCACAACCTGAGTGTTCGGGGGGAAAGGGATTGTTAGTAATGGAGACTGAGAATCCTATTGCTAGCAACAGACCCAACCAGGTCGACCTCCACGCGGTTCTCCCTGAAAACTATCATGGTTAATTCCTGATGAATTCATCATGATGGGCTAACTGGCCTGTTTTCATTCTCATCTATCACCCTTCACTGGTGCTCCGCTAGAGTATCCCGTTAGCGCAGGCGGGGTTACCATACCATTTTCACCCAGCAAAAAAAAAGAACTTGAGTGTTCGCGGGAAGAACTTATCTCTGAAATATCTCGTTATCAAGGTATCCCTTTTTTTATAAATCTACTTGTTATTAGTGGTACGTCATCATAAATTGAACTATCTACTAACAAATTGTGAAAGCTGTGATCTTTTATAGCTATATAATGAACGCTTTACAATTCTATTCAAGCAAAAACCATTCATGTTCCGTATGAAAGCCGCGTCTATTGCAAGTAGTACGCGGACGCAAGGCAGTTTTCATTCATTCACCCTTTCATAAAGTTTACTATTCTGATCTGTTGAGGAGCTGGTTTTTTTATAGTGGTTTTATTTTTATAGGTAATTTTGGAATGGTAATGCTACCTGCGTCATCGGTATACACTGACGGGGCACAAGAGAGAGATGATTCAGATGATGATCAGGGAAAGCAAATCCGTTAGCCTATCATGACGAATTCCCCAAGAATGTTAAGAGGGAACTGTGTGGATGTCGACCTGATAGAGTATTGTTAGTATTGGGACTGTTAAACTCCGTTACTAACAATCCCTCTCCCCTTCACTTTAGACTTATAATCATTTCCTCTACAAATTTTTACACAACTGTCCTGCTAAAAAAAAGCTATTTAATACACTATCTGTGGGGGGAAAGGGATTGTTAGTAATGTAGACTGAGAACCCCATTGCTAGCAATATGCCCAATCAGGTCGACCTCCTCGCGGTTCTCCCTGGAAACTATCATAATTCCTGATGAATTCATCATGATGGGCTAACTGACCTGTTTTCATTCTTATCTATCACCCTTCACTGGTGCTCCGCCAACGTATCCCGTTAGCGCAGGAGGGGTTACCATATCATTTTCACCTATCAACAAAAAAAATACACGTCACGTCAAAAATACAATGGTCTTATCTCTAAAAAGAGATCTAAAGAGAGAGAGAGAAAGAGAGACCAACCCAGTGCAGTGAGAAAATGATAAGCAGGTAATCTAGTGCAGAAAAGGTACAACAAAAAAAAAGAGTGTAAATAGGATACAAAAAAATAAGCTTTTTACAATAAATCAAGGCTAAAGTTTTTGTATGTTTTATGGATAGAATATGTCGGAAGTTGGATATACGCCAAAATGGGCTGAAATGGCTTATCCGACGTAATCGGGCGGATACAGCTCAATTGTTGTTGCACAATGATGTTGTAACGACCACTCTTTATATTTTTTTTTTATAACGATATGAAAAATAAATTGTACCTACGTAAAGTTTTGTTTGTAATTAAATAATTAAAATATGTAGAAATTTAATTAATAATTAAGCAAATACGGCCGTATAGTCCCGGCATAGAATAGGCCATCCCTTCCTTTCCCGCGAGTGTCGAAAAATCCGTACTAAAGGAGGGCGAGGAATGGGCAGCAGCGTCTCTTTTAAAACATCTCTAAAGCCTAACTGCAGTTGCCAATCCGCCTGCTAAGCGTGGCAACTACTGGCAAAACCCCCTAAGGGGAAGGGTTATGTTCAGCAGTGGACAGTTAAAGGCAGATATGATGATGATTACATAACTAAACCAAGATGGCTTGGTTTAATTTGGACTCGCAAAGAAATCATTTTGTCGAATTTGCTCCGCTTACTCCCTCTAGATTAAGCTCTGACCTTGTCTGGCATTTTTTGCATTGCAATAAATAAATATATTTAATTAATTTAAAAAGTAAATATATAGTAATTTTATTTTCAGATATATTTTTAATAACTATGCAATATTATATATCTTAACAGCAGAAATAGAGATGTATTCATGTAAGCAGGTCTACATTCAATCCGTGGATTTATTATATTTATCTCCCCTCGAAGTGAATTATTATGATCGATAATTCCCTGTGTTATCGAATACAATGCATTAAAGTATTATAGGTGTCACAGTATGCTTTGTGTCAGTAATGCTGCTGCTTGTGTAGGTATATTGGGAATAACATTTTCCATTAGTTGATTGGTATTATTTGCCATTTTGTAGTCCGAATTTTCTTTGTAGTTAGAACGATAAACAAGCTAACGGTTACATGGAGGAAACTGATAAATGTCCCATAAACAGTAATACGGATATCACAGGATATACTGTGACACCCATGATATCCTACTGTTGTTATTCCTAAGGACTATGGTGCAAATTCTCCATAATTTGTAATTCATTGCCATACTTCACCCTTCAAATTGCAAGACAACCATGTAAACACATTTGATTCACGGCAGAAAAACGTGTGGTACAGAGGTCCCCAAGTAGACGACTTTCATATAAAGTCTCCAATAACGATAAGACTGTGTTCCACAAAAAAAAACCGACTTGAATTATGGCAAAAACAGTTATTTTGGTTTTTAAAACTAAACTACGGACCTATTTTGATAAAATTTGTATGAGACTAATATGTAAGTATATAATAAAAAAAACCAAACAGATTTATAACTGACAGTTATGAGTTACCAAACAAAAATAACTTCTTCGTCTCCTGTGAGTATTGTAAGAGGCAACTAAGGGAATTTAATAGTCAAGAAATGGGCAGCAGCGTCCCTCTTAAGACATCAGCAAGATCTAACTGCGGTTGCCAATTCGTCTGCCAATGTCAACTACTGGCGAAACCCCCAGTAGGGCGAGGCCTATGTTCAACAGTGGACAGTTAACGGTTGATATGGTCTCTTTTCATTTCTTTCATCTTTTTTTTTTCATTTAAGAGTTTCCTCTTGTCGGTGCAACTAATTCATCCATCTTCCTCCAGCCAGCTCTATCCCAGGCCATATCCTTTATCTCCCTATACGACATGACGCCTGGTGTTGCCTTTATCTGTTCCATGTAGTTATTCCTCGGTCGTCCTCTTCCTCTTTTGCCCTCTATCTTTCCTTCTACTATGCTCTTAAAAAAATCGTCATGTCGTATAAGGTGGCCCAGCATTTTGCCTCTTCTATTCTTTATTATTTCAACCAATGTTCTCTTCTCGTTCACTCTTTTTAGGTCTTCCTCGTTCGTTAGGTAGATTCGTAGGTTGATATGGTATGATATGTTACACATAAAAAAAACAAGAGAATTGAGAACTTGCTTCTTTTTGAAGTCGGTTGAAAAGTGAAGACAGTGTCTTTAAATATCTAACAGGAGTTTATTGATTCGAGGAACAATAGTTATATATAGACAGTATAGTGTATAAATAGGTATAAATCTGTGGTAGATGTAGGCATTTGTTCCGTCTAATCTATTTGAGTGACGAGAATATATACGTGATATGTTTCCGTTAAGGAAACATGTGTGGAAATTGTTGTTTGCCACCCTGTATAAAGTTATGCCCAATAAACTTTGATGTATATTTAAAATGGTTACTACAATCGCAAGATATTTATGCTGAATGTGCATTTAGAAACACATACCATACCATACTTAATCAACCATCAATTGTCCACTACAAGCGTGGCAATTACTGGCAACGCCCCCTCCCCCCTCCACCCTCCTTCAAGGGGAGTTTTATATCCAGCAATAGACAGTTAAAGGCTTTTTGACGATTATTATTTATTTATTTATAAGAAAATAAACATACATTACATCTACATATGTTGAGCCATAAATAGTTTCACATTTGCGTAATTATTTATTTATTTATTTAACTCTTTATTGCACCATAAATAAAAATATACAATGACAAGTGAATACTTCAAGTGAAATACAGTAACATAAATACAGATTGAAATATACACATAAAGGTACAAAAGGCGGTCTTATCGCTAGGGCAATCTCTTACAGACAACCTTTAGTTAAAGGAGAACAGATAGAAATGGGCAGGTGGCGCAAGAGTGAATTAATAATTTTCGTGCATAAAATACAATTACACAATCTGTTTTTATATATGTAAAAAAAATATATAAAAATAGATTTTTTAATTGGGAGTCTTAACAAGACCAACAAATGCCATAACAATAATATTTATGAATTTTTGTCTGTCTGTCTTATATCTTTGTTCCGACGTCACAAAAAAACTATTGCACCAATTTGAATACGCTTTCACAATTGCATTCCTGAAGATCTAACTTCAAATCTAGAAGTGGTCAAATTAATTGGTTTTCTACTTCTGAAATCCACGCGTACGAGGTAGCGAGCAAAATGCTAGTTCAAAATATGTATTTCAACTAAATATAATACAAAAGATACAAGCGAAACGGCGTGAACTCATCCATCCTTGCGTCAGTCGAGAGCAAATCTCCCACGGGGTGGGTGCGTCGCTCGCATACAGTTTTGCCGCCAAAATTTTGCGAAAATTCTAAAATACAATTACGTTATTAAAAATATATTGAACTGTAAACAAATTAGTACATAATTTGTGTTCATAAATAAAGCAGGAAAAGTAAAAAAGTGAATAAATATATTAAGTGGAACTTAATTATTTCTCATTAACTGTCAATTAATTAGTAGGTGTATGTGAATTGATATAATAATGAGAGTTAATAATAAATTAATAATATTTTTTTTCTCATAAAATTATAATTAATTTAGTGGACTTCTAGAACATGTAAACATAATGTTACAGTATGTGTTGCGTGCAGTGTTTTAATGTGAAAATGAAATAGACTTATACTATGTAATAATATAAATATTTATTTATTGTTTTGCTTACATTAAAAATAAATTTTATGCCAAATAATAAATTTATAATAGTAATAAGTAATATGTAAAAATAAATTTTTATTTCTTAGTAACAAAAACAATAAATTAATACGATTATAATAAGACCAGTGGACTCGTGAAAAACTTTTATTAATGAAAAAAAAATTATGACAGTTATAATAGACTTTTGGAGTGAACTTATGGAGATTAGCAACAAAATAAGCTGTAATAAAACAAACGTTACATATGAAACAACTACACTACATAATTCTGTAGAAGCCTAACTTCTAGGCAGTACCATACAAAACTATATGATGTATACAATTAAAGGAGTACTAAATTGTGTCATTCTATCACTGAAATGAACAGATTTGACAACACTTCTAAACAAGAGAGAGACGACGATAATGCTAAAGGCAATTGTACTAAACAAACCAAAATATTGGGTAAGTTTTAACGTTTATAAGAATGTTGTAACAATTTTCAATTTTTCACCGCATAGTTACATTTCTGTTTTGCCAAAGGTTGATTAGGAGAGAATGCTATATAGCATTAAGTCCGTCTTTTGTACCAGACATTTTTTGTAATGTGCCCTCAAAAGAATAAATAAAAAAGAAATAAGTATCCATACATTACAATACCTATAATAATTTATATACTTAATATTTATTTATTTATTTAAACTTTATTGACCAATAAAACGTGGTGCAAAAGGCGGACTTAATGCTATATATGGTATATGCTGGTAGAGAATGCTTTAGAATGTACTAAGATACTAGATGGCGGTTTAAAAAAAAATATATTTATATTTTAGTATAATATATAAAATTTTGTATACATATAAAACCTTGTATTCACTATTACCCTAGCCTTGCCTTGCCTTACTTGATTACTTATTTTGATTTAGAGAATTCAATATATTTAATGAACCGATGACAGAATTTCATTGAAATTATCAGTGAATCACTCTAAAATTTGTAACAAATCGAAACAAATAATTAATTAATATTTGACTTGTATAATACTATTATTGGATATCAGCGATCTGTTCATGTAAAATAAATATACCTGCCTGCGATTTCATCAGCGTATGGACATAACAATCCGCCTGCCAATCGTGGCAACTACTGGCAAAATCCCCCCATGGGGGAGACTTATGTTTAGCAGTGGACGGTTAACGGCTGTTATAATGATGATGGGCATATTAAAAAGTAACCTTTATTCTTTTCCATCTCAGGTACTATATGTCTATCAAATTCCGTGATAAGTAGTTAATCTGGTAAGAGGTAATAAGAAAATAAACAGACTTACTTTTCATATATCCAGTTAGAATATTAGTAAAACTAGTAAAAATAATCGGTAATTTGAAATTATTTCAAGTCTTCCAAAAAGCAACAGATCGACGTATTTTTTTACATAAAGAAAACGTTGTGCTTCAGAAAACTGGTATAATAAATTATTTTTTTTTTTTTTACATTTCAGTAAGGAAAAATATCTTATTCTCACTCTCACGGTAAAAGTAACAACACAAGCAAAATCAAGAATAATTATTTTATTTTTGGCTTTAAAATATACCTACTAATTTTCAAAAAATAAAAGAATTAGATGACGTATAGACTGTAGGAAATAGACAACCGATGATTATGAGCAATCACCCTATACAGTTTCATTATAAAGATCCCAATTATCTCATTACTTGGGCATCATTTCCAAGAAAAGTCTTGATATCTATTCTTGATAAGAATGGAGATAAAATAAACAAAATGTTTCAGGAAACTACTTACTTGTATTTATTTTCTTATTTTTATCTCTTCTACGGTATTTACATAGACAGTAGCAAAGTAACAAGCTTTAGGCAGAAATAATACCTATTATCATTTCATCATCATCATCATGTCAGCCATTAACTGTCCACTGCTGAACATAGGCCTTCCCCTTTTATGGGATTTTGCCAGTAGTTAGTAGGCAGGCGGGTTGGCAACCGCAGTTAGGCTTTGTGTTACTGGTTATAACTCGAACTAATTTTTTTTTATGCAACTTAGAATGGCAAACAAGCTGACGGCCCACCTGATGGAAAGTGGTAACCGTCGCCTATAGACATGGACATAACAGAGTATACTGTTTTGCTCGTGATACCCCCCATGCGTTGCCATTCCTGAGGACTCAGGTGTTATTCCTATGTAACTAGTAACGACATGAAATTCCCTTAGTCGCCTCTTACACCTCTTGCGGGAAAGAAAAGAGGTGACCCATTCTATGCCGGGTCCACACGGTTAAGTATATGATTATAGAGACATAAAAAAAAAGTTATTTAAAAAAATATTGTGTTTGAAAATGATATTTGAATCCACATCTTCTACACCATACTGGAACAAGTGCTAGTACCAGTTGAGCTACTACCATTAGACTGGGGGGAAAGGGATTGTTAGCAATGGAGTTTCACAGCCCCATTGCTAGCAATATGCCCTATTAGGTCGACCTCCACGTGGTTCCCCCTGGAAATCATCGTGAACAATTCTATTTGAAGTCGTCACGATGGGCTAACTGACCTGCTTCATCCTCACTTATCATCCTTCACTGGTGTCCCGCCGGTGTATACCGATAGCGCGGGCGGGATTACCATTCCATTATCACCGATAAAAAAAAAACTATCATTAGACTAATATAATAACAGGAAATTGATTTGTGAATTATAGAATAGAGGAGAAAATGTAAAAAAGAATATAAAATAAAATAATTTTCCAAAGTTTGAGTCCTGCTATTTTATGCTCTCGTCACTGCTCAGGTGTTAAAACACTTTATGGGTAGTGACACTCCAATCACCCAGTTTATTAAAATTCAGCAAGGTGTATAGCCTATGCGTTGCGATAAAGATCAAAGTATCTTTACACCTGAAAAATATTACTCTCTTTAGGGTACTGTACTAAAAAAAGTACAAAGGTACCTTTATGGTGCGACTTTGTCCGTCCGTTCATCAGTTTGTTTGTCGTAGCGCTATATCTTAGCACCTACTAAGTCTATTTTTTTTTTATTTGTATAAGAAATTATGTGAGAAAATTAATTTGTTTTTTATTTTTGGCTAGACGATCTAAAAGGAGAACTCGAAATTCCAAAATGGAGCTAATAGTCCATGTGGTATATTATATCATATGAATGGACTTCATTTGTATATTTTAAAACAGATTTTAATTTATTTTTATACTGTGTAGTTTTTGCCTATTAATGTGAGAAACAATATATTTTCCTCCACCTAACTACTTAAAATCTGAAATATAAGTTTATAAATAAAAAAAAATAATTATAAATAAAATAAAACAGTGGTTTAAGTGACTTCTTATATTATTTTCTGTAAAAAAGAACGTTTTCAGTTCAATTGTATATTTTTAAGTTCTTTACCTCATAATTTCATCATTTATAAACCAATTTGGTAAATCTTTTTTTGTATGAAGTAATCTACTTTTAAATTGGTTCCATAGAAATTTTATCAAAATCCGTTTAGTAGTTTATTTAAAAAAAAAAAAAATTTTGCCACGATTGAAGTCTATACTTTTTCTTTGTAGAGCAAAATCCACTCGTTGTTGTTATATGTGTGCTGAAGATACAAATAAATTTATTACCCATATCAAAGAACCAAAAAACCTGCTATTACATGGAGTACTTTCCTCTTCAAACCGGTTAAAAATCACCGCACACAATGCCTTAAAAATACTCAGCGCCAATAAAAAACCAGTGCCTGCATTTGACACCTGACGATGTGATATTTCTGGCTGTCCCTTTTGTGAAAGCCAGCCATTTATTACAAGGGAACAAAGGACACGCGATGAAAAGTGCGTAATACAAACGAGTTGCTTTATTATTTTTCCCTTTCCATTGTAGCATGTGATGAAGTATTCGAATCAAAGGACTCGATTTCCCAGGCTTTAATCTTGTTTTTTATACATGGGTCTATTCGAATACATGTAAATGACGGATGTGCATTAACATATCATAGATATGGTTTTTATTTTTATTGGCCAGGCTATAGTTACGTGTGAATATTACTAATAAAATAATATTGTAACTAAACAATGTCTTAAACATGAGAGATATTTAAGAAAAAATTATATGACAGGTCTTTATAAGAACAATGACTGTTACATTTCTTGGAAATTTTAAGATCAATAAAAGCTACAATTTATGGATATTTTGTCTGGTTGCGCAAAGATGAGGAATGGCAACGCATGGGGGGTATCATGGGCGAAACAGTATACTCTGTTTTGTCCATGGTACTGCTCATGTCTATAGGCGACAGTTACCAGTTTCCATCAGGTGGGCCGTCAGCTTGTTTGCCATTCTAAGTCGTATAAAAAAAAAGAAAGGTGAATATGGATAGCTATAAGAGCAGAAGAACGACCTAAAAAGACATGGATAGACTGTGTGAAAGATGATATAAACAGAATGGGAGTGAATGCGGAAATGACTGCGAATAGAGAAGAATGGAAGAGAAAAACATATTACGTCGACCCCAAATAGTACAATAGTTGGGATAAGAGCAGGACATTGATGATGATTTCGTCGGACTGTCTGTCTATCTATCTGTATGTTTATTCTGACATCACACATAAGCGAATACTCAAAATTGGGTGCAGTTTTCATTAGTGTTCCTGAAGATCTAACTTAAAAATTGGTTTATGTTGTATCCGTCATCTAAAAGTGATCTGTTTCATTGTTCTTCATACTTCTGAAATCCGTGCTTACTGTTACAACCCTTGCATGTAGATATATTATTGCCAAATAGCAGTATCGTTCATTTCCATTTAAATTAGCCTACATAAATTCGTAATTTAGCTAACTATTAGCTATTTACTGCCTAGCTACGTACCTGGTTTCTGCTTGTCAATCTGGCCAGTAAAATAACTAGTTGGATTTATCATACAGGCTTAAAACCCTGAACTAATAGTCTCGCACATCGAGAGTCAAGTGGACCTACAAATTAGTTAAAAGTGCAGTGTAAAACTAAAGAAGTTAATAATAGAACACTGTGTAAAAATATTAAATAAATAACTTTGGTGTGTGGCAAAAAGTTTTTTTATTTTTTTTTTGATATTAAACAAGTGCTTTTTTAATACACTTATCTTTTAGTAATATGGATAAAACAATGTTACGCCGACCCCAAATAGTAATTGGGATAAGGATAGAAAGATGATGATGAAGTGCCATACACTAACAGTACGAAATGGGGGGAAAGGGGTTGTTAACAATGGAGTTTGACAGCCCCATTGCTAGCAATATGCCTTATTAGGTCGACCTCCACGTGGTTCCCCTTGGAAACCATCGTGAACAATTCTTGTTGAATTCGTTAAGATGGGCTAACTGACCTACTTCATCCTCATCTATCATCCTTCACTGGTGCTCCGCCAGTATATACCGATAGCGCGGGTGGGGTTTCCATTCCATTATCATTCATTAAAAAAAACAGTACGAAGTAGCAAGCAAAAACCTAATTTATAAAATTAGTAATATGTTATTTATTTATTTATTTATTTAACTCTTTATTGCATCATAAATAAAAATATACAATGACAAGTGAATAATTCAAGTGAAATACAGTAACATAAATACAGATTGAAATATACAAGTTAGATATATTGAAATATATAAGTTAGTTAGTTTTTCAGTTTCTTTTTCATATATATATATATATATATATATATATATATATATATATATATATATATATATATATATATATATATACTATATATCAATTGTGTTTCACTTAAAGCTTTATAAGAATCAGTGATATCCGCTTCATTTATTGTAATTTTTAAGTGGCGTACTAATCCAGGAAATTAACTAACGTCTACGATACTAATGGCTCTCTCTGACTGCAGCCATTTTCCCCCTCCCCTTTCTACGTGCTATAATTAAATCACTTAGTGTTCGTCCATACTTTCAGACTCTGGGGAGAAAATCCTAATACAAATTAGATTTCATCAAAGAAAATCTACTTCGATATATATACTTACTTGAGATATATATAGTTTAAAATAATTATATAGTAAAAATAAAAAAACAAAATACGTGAATTCATATTTCTCGAATTCATTCTGGTTGATATCTAATTGATATGTAATGGAGAAAGTTATCGATTCATCAATTAAAACAGTTACCAAATTTATTAAATTATATCAAGCATCGAGTTATTTCGGATACGTGGATATTTTAGTTCATTAATAGAGTACTTTTCGAATAATCAGTAACAATTATAATTATATTAATAAATGGTTAATTTGAGAATACTAACATTACAGATTCACTAGGGACAACATTGGGAGTCTGTATATATACATAGCAAGGAGGTAAATTTGCACGAAAAAGTGGATATTAGGAAATAGTGAAATACTTGGAGATGCCACGGAATCATAGAAGATATTTCAATTACGTCGTATTCGTGTAAATATTCGTTTCGTGATTTCTTTTTTTTTATATCACTAAGGTCGCTAACAAGCGTACGGCCCACCTGCCGGTAAGCATTTACCGTAGCCTATGAACGCCTGCAATACTAGGGGGATTATAACGGGAAATTCACAAACTCACTATGTTTGACGTTTACGACCATTATATCGACTCCATCTAAAAGTCTTCTTCCGTGGGAGAACGACACTTAAAAAATGAATATAGCTTTTAAAAATAATATAACATTTTTGGCAAGCGAAAACAAAATGGAAACAAATGGACTGAGAGCGTAAACTATGCGTATATAATGTTATGATAATTCTACAAGTATTCGAGTATTTATAATTTGTTTTAAAATTATGAAAATAATTTAATAATATTAAATATAAAATTATTGAATTATTTGCGACAATTTACATTTAATTCTGACATTGCAAAGTTTCGGTAAGCTTCAATATGAAACTTTAAACTAGGCATGGGTAATATGAAATTGATCCGATATCTATATATTGGGTTTTTCTGAACATAGATGGCGGAAAAAAGGTAATCACCCATTTCGATATCGTCCATATTGATCGTACATCTATTTTCAAATATGTTAAAAGTTTTTTAACATAGTTCAAAATAGATGCCCATATTCGTTATTAGACCAGTATATAGATATTGTAATTAAAATATATAGGTATTACCATATATTACCCACCCCTATTAACACTACTATAAACGCTCTTGAGCTAGCTTTTGTAAATTATAGTTATATATAATTATAATTTAACGTATTAGACAATGATGTGCGATTTAATCTCGATGAATCGACGAAGACACTTTTCGGTAATAGCCCCTCCATTAATCCTAATTAATGACATCTGTCGAAAGGTTCTGGTGGCGACCTCTATATTACGGTACGGGCACATTGCTTTGCATAAATGAGGTCCAGAGTTCGACTCCGGGTTGAGCCCATTTAAGAAATGAAGTGTTCTACATTGGTTCGAGTCTGGATGTTTCGGAATATGTACCCAAATGTTTAGTAGTAATATCCTAGCTTGAGGCCCTGGCAATTGGTGTAATTGTATAAAAAAGCACAACTTAAGGAAAATCTATCTTCTAGTTATTTAAATAATTTGTAGTAAACAGGATAAAAGTACATTAGGTAATATAATTAAACGTATTAAAATTGTGAGACACAAATGTATTTCTATAAAAAGAAGCTATTTATTACCTCTCTGGAAAACATCGAGGTTAATTCCTAGGGAATTCATTAAGACGATTAAGAGTCGACTCTATTTTCAGTTTATCAAGTAGTAGCAGTAAAATAAAAAAAAAGTTTATATATTTTTAAAGTCAAAGCTATTAATATTGTTATCAAAATTAGTTTTAAAAATCAAGCACAGTATAAAGTTTTTGATTTGAGTCATAAGCTAGGGCCATGGCAATTATTATGTATTTAAAAGAGCCAAACAAAGCCAAGCACTATTCCAGGTCACATAATACATATATCGTGTATACCCCCATTCGTGGTTACTCCTAAGAACTAAAGCCGGATTCGTATTATAATGCTAGCCTCGATTCTTTCTCGGTCAAGTCTCGATCTGGTATATAAGCGTAAATACACTTCGAGATAAATCGTAACTGAAACTATAGTATACATTGTTTCTTATGTAATAATATTTTACTATGACGACAAATTTATTTGATGGCAAAAATACTAGCGAGATTGGAATATCCCTGCAGACGGCATTTGACTGTCTCCCTTCTTGTAAAAATCAAACGGTCAAAAGATTAATAATGTTTTTGTTACAGAGCTGGATCTGGATTATCTGGAGCGCGGTGGAGGTGGTACCCTGACGGTTGGGGGGGCTCCCAGCGTGGAGCCCAGCCCCGACAGCCTCGACCTCATCAAAGTCGTGCTGTTGGGAGCACCAGCTGTTGGGAAAACAAGTATTATTCAGGTATCTGTTGTACATTATTATTATTTTTAGGTTAGAATTCTTCATAATACAGGCCCTCTATAATAATGGGATTTAACAGCCTCATTGCTTGCAATATACTCTATCAGGTCAACCTCCACGCGGTTCCTCGTGGAAACCATCGTGGTTAGTTCTTGTGTGTGGTATGTTAGTCGTTCGTCATAATAAAGCTAACTGACCTGCTTCCATCATCACCTATTGTCTCTCACTGGTACCAACGTATTACTGATAGTGCATGCGGGGTTACCATTCCATTCTCATTCTTTAATAAAAACCACTAAAAACTTCATCATTACCACATTCAAGCGATAACTAGTTGTTCTGTTGCTAGCTTTTGGATTGATCTCAATTCTCTAAAAACTACGAAAACGTCCCAATAGGCTAACTGACCTCACTTCATCATAGCGTAGGCGGTATCATCAAAAAGCATGGGCATCGTCCTCTTGTCTTCGTGCCGTTTTGTGAGGACATTCTTTTGCTCTGCTTGCTGCCGATGTAGTTCCAAGTACAACCAGCAGTAACAAGTTTATACTCCTGAATCTTCCGACTAAGAAAAAGAAAGAAGAACCGAGGACTACCTCATTAACAATATACCCTGGTTGATTGTCACTTGGACCTCCTAGAAACTAACCTGGATAATTCCTGGATGAATTTATTGCGGCAGAAAAACTGACTTTATTTTATATTCATTTATCATCCCTCACTGGTATCCACTTCAGTATCACGGATAAAAAAATATTCCAGCTTATGTCGCTCTCTCTCTCTACATCACATGAAGTGCATTACTTGTCGGCTATTTTCTGACTTTATCGTAGATGGAGTTGCAGGCACATGTGCCAGTTAAGACCAAACTTATTATAAATTACGAGGAAGTGTATTTTTTCATCTTGCGTTCATAATGAACTGAGCTAAATTAAATTGTAAGCCATAAATTAACCAAGACAAAGAGGATATGGATAATGAGGAGCAATGACCCTTTCGTTCGAAATACTAGGGTTGTCACATTCAAAAAGCAGTGAAATTGCTCGAGTTCGCAAATAGACGGGAAAATGTAATAGGTGTTTGGCAACGAGCACGTGACAACCTTAGATTAAAGTCATTTATAGCAGTGTAACAATTTCACTCTCTGTTGCGAAGCAAAGTCTACATGTAAACACGTGATTTTGCGTTCTAAATTCAAAACTGTAAAATCGAAGACAACAACGTGGTCCTGGGGTCCGGATAATTTAGAAAATTAACTTTTCTGAGTTGATTTCGGTCATTAGTTCTAGGTAGGTTATGCTTCAAATATTTGTTTGCCAGTTTCTCATAATATTGTGTATTCTAACTTGAGGACCAGGCAGTTGGTGTAATTGTATGACACTTCATCACCATCATATCAGCCATTATCTGTCCACTGTTGAACATAGGCCTCTCCTTTGAATGGGGTTTTGCCAGTAGTTGCTACACTTGGCAGGCAGGTTGGTAATCGCATTTCAGTTTTAGTGATTTTTTAAGAGAGACGCTGCTGTCCATCCCTCGTTTATTACGTTCCCTTAGTTGCCTCTTATCAACGGGACATCCACGGGAAGAGAAAGGATGATCCATTCTACACTTGTTATTTATTATATTATAAGACATCTTTCCATGCATTAGTGTGTATGTATTTCCAATAAAAGTTACTTTTACTTTTTTGGAACGAAATGTCAAGTACATTTCTAATATTAATCGAACCAATAACATTTTAAGGCGTTCAGTCTCTCACTCTCTCACTCACTTGTCCCTAATTTCATTATAATCTTCATAATACTGAGTGTCCTTTACCCTTTATTATATTAACTATTTCTACTTACATAATTATATTGCTAGTAATTTATTATAGTTTATCCCACATTATTTCCCGTTTGAAGTTCCTGAAAGTACGGTTATCATGTATACATAATTATGCGGGACCTCTACGACCCAAGCGTCACTCCAAATTGGAAGCGTAATATCATATCTTGTGAAAGCTGGCAGATCGTTAGCGTTGGCTCTAAATATTATGTTACATTATAGTCTAAGATCCCGCCGCTAATTTCAACCTGCGTTACCAGGTGAAAATTCTTACTAATATTTTAAATGTAAAAGTGATTTTTTTTTGTTTGTTATTAACTTTTGGCAGTTTAACGGTTTAACCAATTAGTATAAAATTGGATATACTGGTACTATATAGATAGGAAGAGGACTTTTAATTTTTATCCTGGTCACGAGGACGAAATTGCGAAAAACGAAATTTTGATAAATTTTAATAAACTTATCTTTTGTTTTTGGTAAAATTTACACAAGACTTAAGTTTATTTTTTTCTATACATGATAAGATATGATTACTTATAAAAAATGGCTGCAAATAAGGGCTGCAATCATTTGAAGTTTTGTTCTAAATGATAATGCTGCAGTTATGCAGAATTGGTTCTTTTTGGTTTAACCTGAACTAAACGGAAGTTTATCCGTTTTTCTATACAACAATATAGGGTTGCCTATAAAAAAATGACCACAAGTAAGGGTTATCAGGTGGCAACCCTTACTAAGTTGCGACTAAATTACAGCAGACAAACCGTGTGCACAGTAATATATTTTAGCTTACCTTTAATTTAAACCTGGTTTCATGATAATGTCTTATATCTACATAATTCAGCGCTGAGATCTTAGGCTAGTATTATACTGCTACATCCGTGGCCATACGATCCCAGCATAGAATGGGCCACCCCTTCCTTTCCCGTGGGTGTCGTAAGAAGCGACTAAGAGAATTTAATTATCGAAGAATGGGCAGCAGTGTCCCTCTTAAAACACCACTAATCCCAAACTGCGGTTGCCATCCTATCTGCCAAGCGTAGCCACTGCTGACAAAACACCCCAATAGAAGGCCTATACATACATATCTTACATATCTACATGTTTGGACATCTATCTCTTCATTTAAGTGTTTATTTCTTGTCGGGGCTACATCTATAGGCCATATCTTTGACCTCCCTATACAACATGACACCTAGTGTTTTCTTCATCTGTCCCTAGTCATTTCTCGGTCTTCCCCAACCTATTTTGCTCTCTATTTTTCCTTCTAGTATAGAGCATACTAGTAAAATGGTCATGTCGTATAAGAGGTCCAGCATTTTACCTCTGAATGTGAATGTGAATGTGAAAGGGACTCCATTTTCCGCACTTAGCCTCTCATTTGGGCCATTGTGCGTATGAGTCGTGGCTAGTGCAGCCAACCTAGCTCCGTCCAGAAGCGCAGAAGCTTCCTGGGTTCTTCACAGGCCTCACGGAGCGACCTCACCGTTCCGAGGATTTCTAAACGTTGATGGGCCACAGCCTCACATTCCAGGATTACGTGAGCTGCCGTTTCTTCGGCGTTGAAACAGCCTCGACATAGAGGGCTGTCTGTGGCTCCTATTGTGTATAGATGTTTGTTTAATGGACAATGACCCGTTATTGTCCCTATCATTGTTTTGAGGTTTTTTCTGTCTAGATGTAATAAACGTTTTGATAGTCGTTGATTCAACATAGGTACGGCCAATTTTGATTGTCTGCAATCAGTAGCCTGTACCCATCTTTGGTTTTGTATGTCAGAGGATCTTTGACGAATCCACATTCGAAATTGTGAGAATGGAAGAGGAAGGAGTGGATTACCCTCGTTCCTGAGCCTTTCCTAGCTAGTTCGTCTGCGGCATCGTTACCATAAGATTCACTGTGCCCTCTTATCCATTGGAGGATAATACGGTTATTGGAAGATATCCTATCCAGTGAATGGTGGCATTCAATTATTAGTTTGTTGTTTGTCTTGTTGTTTCTTAATGTTTTTAGTACTGCTGCGCTGTCGGATAAGAATCTAATGCTATAACCATTTATTCCTAGCTTATGTACAACTGCAGCAGCCTCGGTTATTGCAACACATTCGCATTGGAAAATTGAGCTGTGGTCGCCAAGCGGTATGTGCATGTTTATATTAAGGTCTAAGGAAAAGACTCCAGCTCCTGAACCGTTCTCAGTTTTGGAGCCATCGGTGTATATGCGTAATTCATGTACACCGGATTGATCCTTTTCCTCTTCTTTTATTTGTACTTGGTATTTTTTGTTAAATATATAATGATTATGAGTCCTGTCACACGGAGCCGCAATGAAAGGTTGATATTCGATTGCCTGGTTCAGAATAGCAGTGTGGGGACTGTAGTGATTTTTACCCCATAGATCCAGATGCATTAGTCGGATAGCGGCTAAGGCCGCTTCCTGCTGTATGTGCAGGTCTAGGGGTGTTATGTTAAGGGCCAACTCTATTGCTGTTGTAGGAGCTGTTTTCATGCAGCCGCTGACAGAGGAGCAAACCAGTCTCTGAAAGCTTTTTAGTTTGGCGGCAGTGGTCGATAGTTTTGTCCTCGGCCACAAAACTAGTGCACCATAGACCAACATTGGCCTGATTACAGCCCTGTACAGCCATAGAGTTATTTTTGGCGAAAGGCCCCATTTATTTCCTAGCATCTTTTTGCACTGGTAGAATGCAATTGTGCTTTTGTTAAGTTTATAGTCAAGATGTTTATTCCAAAGCAATTTACTGTCTAGTATTATGCCAAGATACTTGACTTCTTCCTTAAGTTTCAGTTCCGTATTGAAGAGTTTTGGTAGCCTGTAAGGACATGTAACTCTTCTATTTGTGAACATGATTAATTCTGTTTTTGTAGGATTAACAGAGAGTTCATGCTGTACGCACCATCTCTCAATTATGTCAAAATACTCTCATGCGATCACACAGAGTACTTTCGAAGCTTCCTGTTAAAAGTACAGCTATGTCATCCGCATAACCTACCGTGTAGAGGCTGTTATCGTTGAGCTCTATTATGAGTTCATTTACGACTATATTCCACAATAGTGGTGACAGTACGCCGCCTTGTGGACAGCCCCTACCGACGATTCCTCGTGTGGTAGTATTTACAGTAAATTGTATAGCTCGTTGTTTAAGCATGTTATGT